ACTCTCCCTTTCACGGGAGATTCCTCTGTAGCATGCGATGCTGTTTGATAGCACTTTTCCATAGCAGAATGTTTTTCAACTGGAGTCAGTCCCCTTAAACCCCACGGGTGCTTTATTAACTAAGTTTATGCAATATTCTAAATGCTTTGTTGTCATGTCAGCAATGATCACAGCACCTTTACCAGGAGGAGAGCCCATCTCTAGAAGCTACTTTCTTTGCTCATCCTTGAGAAGCAACTCTTCATCCATTCAAGTTTCACCGTGAGATCGCAGCAATTAGGTCACATCTTCAGACCCCACTTCTAAGTCTATTGCTAGTTCTACCATATCTGCAGTTACTTCATCTAATGAAGTCTTAAACCGCTCATAGTCATCCACGAGGGTTGGAATTAGCTTCATCCGATTGTTATGCCGATATTTTGGCCTCCTCTCATGAATCGTGCTTATTCTTAATGGCATCTAAAACAGTGAATCCTTTCCAGAAGGCTTTTGTTTTACTTTGCCCAGATCCATCAGAGGACTCACTCTCTGTGACAGCAATAGCCTTTCAAAATGTATTTCTTAAATGATAAAATTTGAGAGTTGAAATTAGTCCTTCATCCACAGGCTCTCAGATGGATATTGCATTAACAGGCATGACAACAACACTCCCCTCCTTGTATATCTCCATCAGAGCTCTTGGGTGACCAGCCGTTTTGTTAATAGATAGTAATATTTTGAAAGGAATCTCATTTTCTGAGCCACAGGTCTCAAAAATAGGCTTAAAATATTTAATAAACCATACTGTAAAAAAAAAAAAAAAAAGCACTGTCATCCACACTTTGTTGTTCCTTTTGTAGAGCATAGGCACAGCAGATTTAGCATAACTCCTTAGGGTCCTAGGATTCTCAGAATGGTAGATGGGCACTGGCTTCAACTACAAGTCACCAGCTACATTGCCCTTAACAAGAGAGTCGGCCTGTCCTGAGAGGCGTGAAAGCCAGGCATTGACTTCCTCTCTAGCTATGATAGTCATAGATGGAATCTTCTCATCTAAGGCTGTTACCTCTCCATAAACAATCTGTTGTTCATCAGTTTTTTATTTTCTGGGGTTTTTTGTTTGTTTTTGTTTTTTTTTAAGAGACAGAGTCTCACTTTGTCACCCTCCGTAGAGTGCTGTGGCATCACAGCTCACAGCAACCTCTATCTCTTGGGCTTTGGCGATTCTCTTGCCTCAGCCTCCTGAGTC